ATGTCCTGAAAGACCCCCCTTGTTAGTCCTTCTTGATCACGTCTCTCCACCTCTTCTTTGGGGCTCCTCGCGGTCGCTTGCCTTGCACTTCGAAGTCCATCGCTGTTCCTTATCGGATGGTCCTGTGGCCTCCTTAGCACATGCCCATACCATCGCAGACGCTGTTCCCGTACCTTCAGCTGGACAGGGGCAGTCTGCATGACCGCTCTGACATCCTCGTTTCTGACCCTGTCCAGTCCAGCCGCAGGCCCATCTCAGCATCCTCATCTCAGCGGAGTGAAGCTGCCTTTCGTGATTCTTGTTCAGGGGCCAGCACTCGCTGCCGTATAGCATCGCAGGCCTTACCACTGTCCGGTACACCTTCCCTTTGAGTGTTCTGGAGCACCTTCGATCGCAGAGGATTTCAGTGGGCTCACTTCAAATTTTTAACTTCATGGTCCACACTGCCGTCGGCGGCCAGATCGCTCCCAAGATATGGGAAGTCCTCCACTCCTTCGATGGTTCCTCCATTGGACGTTCCTATGTGAGACTGATTTCCTAAGCCCTTTTGAAAAGACCAAATCTTTAAGGAGAAATTTATGTAATAGTCTAGCTCGACTGGATCATCGTATCGTCGGTTCATCTATGCTTGACTGCGGTGGGAAAATAGGTCGATTGACCAATCAATAAGCAGTTGTTCCCCGCATACATTTTTGAGTAAGAGCTAGCCCAACCAAAAACTTCAGGAAGCCAAGGGCTCCTCTCATAATTCATCAGTACATTATTCACTAGTCCCTCCTCAAAACCGGGCTCAGCTCAGCTCTTCCACCACCACCTGTTTGAAGTGGAAGGACGATTTGAATGAGATGTGTGGGATTTCGTTCTACTAACCTCCGACCAACCGGTAGCCCCTTTTCATGAAACCACACCTCCTTTTAACTCGTGTTGATAACTGAGGTAAAAGTGAGAAATTCCATGATGAAATTTGCTTTCCAATCCAGAATGGTGTGGAGGCATGTAGCGGACTTTCACCAGCACAGGCCGTCCAAATATCAGATCGAGCCCATGCGAAAGAATCGGTACCCATGCCTACGCCAAGTTGGTTGATACGGAACTCGTCTGTAGGGATAAAAACATTAACTGTACATCGTTCGAGGCCGCAATCCAATGCATAGGAAATTGCATTGAAATGCCGCTGCGATCCAAACGGAAGTATTATATAATGCTAGGGCGGACAGAGGAACTGGTACCGTCAATGATTTCATTCTTTATACTTTGCATCCAATAACCATTTTTCATTCGGGGTAATGGTCAGGGTCAACCTATATTATTACTAGCTGACAACAGGGGGTCGGATGATACTGGATGAGTGTGTAGGAGGGGTGGTGGTACTCGTGGTTGAGTTTGTGGAGGGGGGGTCGTACCCGTTTCAGTCGCTTGAAATCACATGTGAGTTTGAGGTGAAACTGAAGTTTTTTAGGGTAGGTAGGACTGGGTGAGTTGAGGGGCGCAGGAAAAAAAATTGCCGTTTCAGCGCGCGTATATATAATACCTAGAAAAATGAAGCAGTGGGAATATACAGGGGTGGCCAAAAAAAAGAGACACTTCACTCAACATTCAAAACGGAATTATTTACGCGTCGCGAAACCAAACCAAATGACCCCAACTGAATATTGAAGAGCACGTTATAATCTATCAACAAGCTACACAACAGCCTTCTACACCGACGACATCAGAAGATTTTCCCACGGAAGCATTGTGCGCGGTACGATCTCAACGAGGTCGTTGAGATACCATAGACGATTACGACGTCTCTGAAACGCAGGTCAAAAGCGGTTTTGCACATTCACAGCTAATGTCTCTGGGAAGCTATTCAACAATTAATTCACTGAGAAATTGTGTAGCAGCTTCAGGTCGGAGCGATTTCGGTAAGCCTCGTTGAGCTCGACGGTGACGGCAGATGACGTCATATTCTGGAGACGGCAGGGGCAGTGAAGGAGTGCTTGCTTCTGTTTACGGAGGAACAACTAAGGAATATAACGCCATAAAACTTTCATTAACATCGGCTCCCTGTGTGACGAAAAGTTCGATGATGTGCGCCATGGGCTGAGTGTCTCTTTTTTTTTTTGGCCACCCCTGTATGCAAATAGAAGGTACAAGCTGGTAAAGTAGGAGTAATTTGGCGCGAGATAGGGTAGGGGACTTTTACTGTTTGAGCTAGCTATTACCCCTCCGCGCGCTCCCACTCTCTCCATTCCTTATAGCAGGAAGGGGTTTGCGACATCAAAGGTTTTTGAATCAGCTTGAAACGTTTCGGTATGCAGGATACATGCTTTAAATTCTAGGTCGCGAAACGAACAGAACTTTCTGAAACGACCTAAGATAGTAATGCTGTTATATGAAGGGCGACTGTGGTAGGCGCCAAAAAGAAGAAGTGGAAAGCGTTTCGGAAATGGTTTTCAGACAATGAAGGCACAAAACGAGGTCGCGGGCTGTATTGCAGGTTAGTGAGATTATTACGCACTCTCCGAAAGCATGGCGCACTCTAAATGGGGGGGGGGGGGCTGCTGATGAAGAAGCCACCTTTTAAATTCTCCGACAATTAGAGTATTGTGCCTTATTAGTGAGTTTCTTCTTTATTGTTGTTATTGCCTATAAGTGGCTCCTACTCTCTCTTTGTATAACTCTGCTCCCTAGAATCCTATGCTTCATAGCGAAGTAGAAATAGGTCTGCTTTTCTGAAATTTTCGACAATCTTTAAAACTTTTTCTCTTAAGTGGCGAGCCACGCTTACCCTATACCTTCAGCATCTAGTGAGCTACTATACACTGGATGTGCAAAAATTAAGGACGAAATAGATGAAGTAACCTAACTTATCGATAGCTTTGTGGACCTTTTGACGGTTCCTGTCATTTGCTTTTTGTACTGTACTGGAGTAGTTCTCTCAGTGGGTGGTTAGGTTTTATAGAGCTGAGTTACTTGCAAAACCACGCGACTGAAAATTTAGGTTCGTCCTTAAGTTCTGCGCACCAGTCTACTACTACTACCTTTTGCCTGGGGCATGCCTTCAAGGACGAATGGATTCCCTGTAGCTATGTTGGCAAGCCTATCGATGGTTTCTGTCCCAATTGATATCTTGGACTAATACCAACCTTTGAGACTCAATGATTTCGGAACCATTTCATTATCGAGCTCGCTTCTCATGTCTCGCATCTTTTTAATTCTCGTAAGCAACAATTACCTGCTTTTCATTACACAGAAACAAATTGGACCGGTGGTTTCAGAGAAAATTATTCACTAGAAATCGAGTTTAGTCCTCTATTCGAGCCCAAAAACTACACAGATGAGCCAACGAATGATTCGCCGCAAAGCTTGTTTTCGGCGTTCATACTATTGGCGCGATTTTTATTAGGACGAATCTTCCCTGCTTTTTCTTTTTTTTCTTTTTTCTACTGGTGAATGACAGAACTTCACTATTCCGCTTCGAGATTTCGCAATGAATCAATATTAGGCTTGATTGAATTGAAAGTTCGATGCTTCAAAGTTGGAATTAACGATAAGAGGTTAGGAGACAGGCGGACCTCCTGAGGGTGCTGACCGACGCGCAATTGGCAGCGAAAGATTTGACCTCGGCGATCTAGCATGGCTCACTCTTGGCGCGGTTGGCGGGGTACGCCCACCGACTATCTAATCACTCGCCGCAGTCTATACGTGGCGAGTGATTAGATAGCAGAGAGAGCGTAGTGTTGAAGAGGGCACAGCGATGAGAGTCGCATCAATGCGCAAATCAACGGGCAAGGAAGGGGTCCCATTTCTCGGGTTCTGGGCCGTTTCAAATGGTTTCTTCTTCATCCCTGCTCCACTGACCACCTCTACCCTTATTTCCAATGAGCTAACTTTTCATCGTAAATTCTGCCTTTACTTGTATGGAGCAGATCGGTTCAATTTCTACAAAAGAGGTCGCCGAACACGTGCATTTGCGGCAATGTAATATTTCTCGAGTTTTCACTTTTTTCTTCGGACGAGCAAACAACAACAAAAACCTTGAAATATTTGAATTTGTTCCAAAGCGAACGAACGAGTGAACAGCATACCATGCAATACTCTTGTCCATCAACCGTCAATATTTTTAAGATTCTATTTTGCTTTATTTTTATTTACTTTATTTTAAGAAGATTGGGTAGAGCATATGTAAGGTAGACTGGTCTATTACCTCACCATCCCCAATCAATCAAAGGAGACGTCATTCGAACAAAAACGGAACGGAATTCTTGACCTGACGTTAACCCGTCTATAAGTAATGGTGCGAACATAAGTTTGATTTAGAGCGCTCTCGAATTACAGCGTGATGGAAGGCCTCTAAAAAGTGCGGCGATTACAGCAATGTGATGACGCGTACAAAAAAAGGGGAGAAGCGTTAGACTTGATATTTTCGGCCTCTAGCAGTAACTTTTCCTCAGTCACACAACTAGTTATATCACTACAGAATATTTCCGGAACCAGCGCTTTTTCTTACCACTCTTAACTTTATGCTTCCTTGTTTTGTGCACTCGTGCATGCTGGCCAATTATTCACGAAACTGGTACAGCTTCCCTAAGGGTTTTCCGATTCTGCCTTCTTATCTGTTCAGTCCGATTCTTTGCCCTGTGCTGGAAATGAAATTACGAGATGCTCTCCTAGGAAATTCTTTCCAATCTCCTTTTTCTTCGTTTCTTGTTTCCTCCCCCTTTTCAACTGTTTTTTGGCTGCCTACAAATTTCCAAGGACTGTCAGATTAGCCTAGCACATACAACCTGCTCCTCTTGAACATTAGCGTCATCCATTATGTGACTAGCTCATTAATTGACTTTTCTACGCTCATCCATATGAGATGAATCTGACACTGACTGGCTCGGTTATTGTGTTTATTTTATGTTTGTTACAGTAAACTGCCCTAACTACACATTCGCCAATACGAAGTTAAAACTTTCAACGGAAGGCAAGGCGTGCAGTACGGTGAAGGCGGCTTTCTCACTGACCTGATGTTTGCCGACGACAGCGCAATTTTCGCCGAAACTGACGAGGAAGCGACTAACATCATGTGCTCACTGTCAGAGATTGCCCAGTCGTATGGCCTCAAAATAAACGCGGAAAAGACCAAGGTGATGACCTCGGATGGATCGCCCGCGTGCGACTGGGTAGCGTCGCCTTGGAGCAAGTGAGTAATTTCAAGTACCTTGGATCGGTCGTTCAAGAAAGGAAAGTGGTTGCCGAGGCTGAGGTCCGCAGCAGGATTGGTCATGCGTCTAAGACATTTGCAGCGTTAAAGTGGTGTCTCTGGAAGAAGAGTAACATATCACTGAAAACCAAAATTCGCATGTTCCGGACGCTGGTGCTCCTGTGCTACTATATGGGTCTGAGACATTACGTCTCAACATCGGATCTCTCTTCATCCGCCGAGGTTCAAATCCGCTTCGTCTCGCATTTCAAAATATGCTCGGGATCAGGCTTCGTGACCATGTCACGAACAACGCCATCAGGGAGAAGTTTGAAGATCAACCCACAATCGAGGAACAATTGAAACTGCGACGGCTACGATGGTTCGGTCACCTGTGCAGGATGGGTCACGACAGAATACCTAATATGCTCCTGTGGAGAAGACGCCCTGCGCAGTGGAAAGTTCAGAGGACGGCTCCAAAAAAGACTTGGTTGAAGCAAGTTGAGGAAGACCTTAGGGCTCTGAGGTGCAGTGTTGAGCATGCTAGATGTATTGCTGCTAATCGACCAGAATGGAGACACTTCATTCAGGGCGTTCGTACTCCAATGGCACCCACAGCAGTGTACTGGTTGAGAGGCCGGCCCCCACCAGACCAGACGCAAGGATAAGTAAGTAAATAAGTAAGTAAGCTCGCAAAAAGAAACTACTCCTAATGACTACAACCTCCATTGCTACGCAAGTTATCCACACCTGCTCACTACCCTTGATTCCCATGAAAAAATGCTCGGCCTTTTGGTGCTCATATTTGAGCCGAAATCACTGACAACAAAGATATGGCAATTTGTGTCACTGTGAGACTAGCTGTGCTGAATCGGGAATTAGTGCCAAAATACATCGCCGTGACATACATTCTATCGCTAACTAAACGGTGCTTTATTTAGTTTTATGGAACTTAACCCACATTTCGTGTTGATTTGCCAGCCTTTATGCTTTCCTGGGAGCTCTGCGGATCATGCTGGTCAAATAACTAGTGCTGGCCAGATTGGGATTGTGTTCGGTAACGGCTGGAAAGAGGCCATCGCTAGATTCCTACCTACACCTATGAAGAGAAAGCGCCTTTTTCTGGGTTCAGGCCCGACATTTTTTTAGAGCAACTAAACGACGATCTAGGCAGGAAGTTGCAAATTGCACTTATTGAGAGGCCGATCTCGACTTGACCTGGTTTCACAGTGGCTGTTCAAAATTACTGTGAACTGAATCCATGCTAGCAACTCTGAAGTACACTTTTACGATTTGCCCACCCCCGAGTATCTTGCTGTAGTTGATCGGCCGCAGGTAGCCCGAGCGTTCTTGCCCTCATGTTAATTAGCTGTGGAAATTTGGTTCTGGAAGAGCCTTGCAGTCATTGTTTCTCATTTTATCACCGTTAGTATTTGATTAACAATCAGGACCGGACCTTGATAGTTCCTATTACCCTGGAAACCCTTAACTTAGCGAAGGTTACTTGTCTTCACGTTCACTTGTTTACCATACTGTTAAAAGCTTTTCGGAATAAAGCTTGTGAAGGTTTAGAAAGTTTAGGAAAGACTCTTGGAAAAAAAACTAAGGCTGGTTTTTTAGTGGTGCCATCGAAAGCCAAAAAAAGTTTGAGAAAAACTTCACAAGGTGTGTAGCTCTGATGCATGCTTTCGTGTTGAACTGTAACTGTAACTGCAATGTTGCACTTTGCGAAGGAAACATTTTCTGCTCTCTTCATTTGTCTTACCGATGCCATAAAAAGCTCAAAAATTCGGCTGATCAATCTTTTTGGGAAACGCCTTACCACTCCCTTTCAAATGTGCACAGGCGGTCGAAAGCGACTCACCCTACACAAAGACCTGTGAAGGCCTACCAATGAACAACTTGGAGGGTTCCTTCTCCCGGACGAGCATGGCGCCATCCAACCGACACGCTATCAATTAATCAGAATAGGCTGATGCCCACTTTGCCTGTGCAGAGAGGGATCCGCAATTCAACCGTCTGCGTGGTGCAGCATCACCTGTCACATATCACCTC